TGTCCAGCAGGAAAACTTTAAAATTTAAATATTAATGAGGTAAAAGGAGTAGATGTTTTTTTATGGTTTTAATGTGGAAATTATACCTATTTTACCCTTATTATTGTTCCAAGCATACTATTTGTATATATGTCTTAATATATGTCTGGAGGGGATGTTTAACTATCAGTACTGACCTCCAGATGGAGTTGCGACCCTGCAGGATGACACCAGTGAAGCGAGTCAGCTGCCGGGCGTCGACCTCCAGCCACTGCTTCTTGTCTCTGTACTGAGCACACCAGGCTCCATCGTAGATATCGCCGTCCTCTATCCCAGACTGCAACACACACAGGAAACACAAAAAGACACACTGATACTGTTGCTCTGTCCGTAGCATGTAATATATTATATATTTGGTTTGCGGTTAGTTGTTACCTGGATGTTGAGCCTGCCACGGTGAGGGCCCAGGCCCTTGCGCTTAAAGGATGACGCTCTCAGCTGATTATCTTTGACCTTCAGTGACTCCAGACCCAGTGGAGGACATTCTGACACAGTCAACGGGGATTAATTGACTTAATTTAATTTAATTTAATATGATTATACTATGATAGTAGAGAGCAGAGTAGCAAAGTAAGAAGAAGCCAGTGTTCCAGAGGTAAGAGCCTAGTTTAGATTTTGCACACAGTGCTCAAAAATCTGTTTGAGCATGAAATTTGTGAAATTTGTTAAGTTATCATTTTGTATCAGATTTGCATCAACTGTAGTGCAGTGTTTGGTTCCTGATTCTGAATATGCAAAAATATTTTGCACCTCTGAAAATATATTCTTGCCTGTGATACTGCATGATACTGTTTCTATTGTTAAGTAAACTTTCAAATTCCAGCTTACACTGTGAGAAAAACCTAACCAGCATCTCAACCCACTGTGCTCCTCAGTATACAGTAGTAACAGTGCATGCAGGTTTGCACACTACATGTAATGCAGTAATAAAATCACATACGCAAACATGTACACATATAATATTACAAATTAATGTTTATAATATTATAATAACACATGCACACACTTGACCTTGTGAAAGCTGAGAGATCACAAATCAGTTCTCAAAAGCATGTGAGTACAAATCAAATTACTCAAAAGGTAGGAAAGGATAAAAAACTTGTCTTTAAATATTTTAATGTTATATAATGTGCTTGAATTATATAACACTTAGGGCTGCAACAGACAATTATTTTAGTTATCGATTAATCTGCTGATCAGTGTTCGATTAATCAGTTAGTTGTAATATTTATCACTGTCTCCCAAATCGTCCTCAAGTGTCTTGTTTTGTCAGAAAGAAACCAGAAAATATTCACTTTTAAGAAGCTCAAAGAGAATTTGGATATTATTGCTTAAAAAATTACTCAAAATGATTAATTAATTTTCAAAATAGTTAGGAATTATTTAATAGTTGACAACTAAACGATTAATCGATTAATTGTTGCAGCTCTAAAAAAGATTTGTCACATTTTATCAATGTGACAAATGCCAGGGGATATATTACAGAAAAAAGCTGAATACATGAGCATAGAAAAATAATACTTAGAGAGTCAGTGTCTTACAAATCGAGCTAGAGAGGAAAATTGAAAGAGAAGTAAAAATGAGAGCAGGAAACAGAGAAAACACGCCTCTCTTGCAGAGGGTGACACTTCTTTCAACCTGTCCTGCCCCAGACAGACTCACATTGTCTGGAGGGTTCAGTTGGGTTCAAACTGCCTCTTGCTGCCAGGAAGCTTTACTGGCTGCTAAAGAGTCTCAGGCGGAGGTATAGAAGCAGCGTAAATGAATACTAAATGTAGGTGGCATTTCCTTTGAGGACCCTTTCCCCCATTTTGCCTTGAAGTCCAGCTGGATCTCTGCTGGGCTGCTCTAAAAATAATGTGTCTTTGTTGCTGTTGACCGGTGGATTCCTGCCAAACCACAAACTTCTGAAACTGCTGAAGCTGAGCCAGAGATACTTGGCAAACTGACAATGATGCCCATTAGAGAAAAATATGTTTATTGTACATTAAGGCTGTCCACAACCCAGCTGATTATCTGGGTAAATAAATTCCACAGTGAGAGGAAATAAATCATGAGGGCAAAACCTCTCAACTCTTGGAGGTCCTGAAAGAAAACTGTGGTTTTGTGCAGAGAAGAGCATTATTCAGTCTCCTTACTGTTGACTGAGGACTTTGCCTTTTCCTCTTAATAAAGTTTTTATAAAGAACAAAGACCATGGCTCATACTCAAACCTGCAGCAGTTTGCTATATCACTGTCTCTGCTCTTTGCAGTTTTCACATTAACTCCCTCAAAACCCTTTACCACTTCCTTTTGCCTTCTTTCCTCTATTTAACGGAACTACAAGGGGAAGATGGAGCCCCAAGATGCCTCATCAAAGAAACACCCCCCAATCCTCAGTCTCATCTCCCTGGCTTCCTCAACATGACCCTCTGGCTTTATGAACACTATTCAAATCCCTATTCCAATATTCGGGTATCATCAAAGTAAAATGTGTGTAATATACCAAATTTGTTAAATAAAAACTTGTTCTGTAAATAGTTCTCTTACTCTTGTAATCAAAAATATTTCTCTAAAGCTACATTCTGAGGCGGTTCTGTAAATGGTGTAATAATAAATATCGTAATTTTTGATCAGTTTAAGCCCCACCCATTCCAGGTACAGATAATAATACAGATAATTTAGTTGGTCAAACAGATACAGATACAAATAAAGATAATGGTGTCTACTCTTGTTTTGCAAAAAATGGACTATCGGAACTAAATGGATTATTTTTTGTTTATTTTTAAAATTCTATGGGAACTACTTGACAATCTTGAATATTGTCACCAAGGACTCTTGTAGTGTATGCTTCTGATGTATAAATGTATGAATTGCCCTATACCGGTCAATTAGGGGCCGGAATGTTGAAGCCATTACACTAAATTTGTGTTTCAACATACCATACCATAGTTCATGTGAGCAACTTATAAATCCATGCTGCCATATATATTTTACCCATTATGATCATAATTAGTACTATTAATCATGCCGAATGGTATTTGCGAGATGATGATGATGTGATGACGTCAGATGACGTCAGGGGGTGTTGACTACATATAGAAGTCACCTGATGAGGTGAACAGGTTTTGGCTAAAGAGCGGAAGGGCAAACTATTTTTCAACCGCATTAGAGTAACAAAGCAAGTTTTTCTGTTTCATATAAAATGTGCTTATTTGTTATGTTGCTTTGATAAAATAAAAGGACAAATTATGGTGACACTACGACAGAATGCGCGTTGATTTTACCGACTGCTCCTATACTATACCCTCTTCCATTTCTATGAATCATATACCTGCGTCTCCAGTCACTGCCCAAGCCCCTAGTTATACTGAATCTATTCTTGGTCCCAGACAGCCCACTTTCACTATTAGTCTACAACCAATCCATGCCATCTCAGCAGCCACAAGTTGTCTACTCACATGTTCAAACTCCCAATGTTATGGATCTGTCCATTGCTTCTGCCTATGGAATCCCGAGACCCTCACTTCCTGTGTTTAAGAGTGGATGAGAGAGTGATTTTGCCCTTCTGAAAATGGCTCTGGATAACCTCCTTGACAATCACCCCCACCTTACTGAGCAGTATAAATATTAGATCCTCTTACATTACATGTAAGACTTACATACCCAGGAGCTAACAAATTGGCTATAATCTAGTATGCATGATGCAAGACCATATTCCACCACTCTTCTATCACTTCAAGATAAATATGGTCAGCCAAGGCTACTAGTTCAGAGTGAAATTGGAGCAATATTAAATTCCCCATTATTCGCAGATGGATTTGTTGTTGTTGATTAATCGTGGCATTCTGACTGGGCAGGCAAATCAAGCTTACTCCCTCCTCGACCTTCCAACCTGGCTACAGTCAACGTACAGAAAGGGTAAATGTTAATAAGCCTAAGTCTTAGCCTTATTGCCCCCACTGTAATGTCAGAGACCATTTCCTTGGTACATGTACAGAATTAAAAAAACTATCCAAAAATGAGAAGAGAGAGAGAGAAGGGGAGATGTAGTAATTGTGGGAGAATACACAAAATGGACAAATGCACCTTAAATAGGCCATGTAACACCTGTAAGGAGTTTCACCTGACCATTCAACATGATGTAAATGCAAACAAATCTGCGACAGTGATGTTCACATCATCTCACTCATAACTCCTTTACATGGATAAACCAAACCGCTTCTATAAAGTCATGATGACAAGTTGTCAATGTATGTCTCCATAATTGGGAAAGGACCATCACAACTCACGCAGTCCTCGATGATGGAGCAGATAGATCTATTCTGCTCCCCGAAGCTGTCCGGTGTTTGGGCCTCGCAATTCAACCTGAAACCATCTCATTATGCACAGTGTGACAGGATATAGTGCAATTAAGTGGAGCATCTGTATCCTTTGAAATTTCCCCTATTAACCAGTCAACTGAAAGGTATGGTATCAGTCAAGCATTCACTTCAGAGAATCTTGGACTGTCGAAGTACACGTACCCTGTGAAGCAACTACAAAGGCAGTATCATTACAGTTTATTGATCATGCATGCCCT